ACATATTAAATTGTTCTCTCAACGTTGCAATAGATATCTTTAATTTATTGTCCATTGGATTCAAAATAAAAGCTTTTTCTTTTAATTTTATTTCTTGTTCCAGATCCCTATATCTTTGTGATTGTTTACGTCTGTGAGCAGTATTCATTGAAATTAAGGCACCTCTCATAAATGCCTTGCTAGCATCCCAAACAATTGATATAGAAGTGCCTTTATTCATATTCAGTAGAAAAAAATCTTTTAAGTGTTCTTTAAGTTTCTGTACATTACTTTCATATCTTAACAAATTTTCATTCAACCTCCAAGTTCTTTTACTTCCTGCATCATTTAAGATCTCCATCAATACAGGACTATGATCTGATAAAGTCTTAGGAGAGATCTTCACTTTTTTAACCTTTGAGACCAAATCATTAGTAATCAGAATAAAATCAATTCTTGAATAAGATTTATGTCTGTCCGAGAAAAATGTAAAGTCCCTTTCTCCCATGTTCCAATCTCGCCAGACATCTTTTAACTCAAAGTCCTCCTGTAATGCAAAAAAGCTTTTAGGTAGTTTAATTTGAGTTGAAATTTTAGAAGAAGTCTTCTTATCTTTCATTGGATCTATTACACCATTCCAATCTCCCATCTTAATAACCGACTTATAATCCAATTGGGCTATTTTTTGATGTAGAGAACGATAAAATTGTTTCTGTAGATGATATTGGTTAGACATTTCTTCCCATTCAACAAAAGTTCAACAAGTATAAATCTTCCTTCTGTATCATAATCTATTAGCTTTGGCAATAACTCCTTCTTGACATAAAGAACTATGCCAGCTTTTTTCCTTGGTGCAGGAGCGACAAAATGTAATCCCAATTTATAGTTAATCAAATACTTTTGGTCATTTAGTGAAATATGTGTTTCTTGTAAACATATAATGTCATTTTTATATTGTTTTAAGTAATGGAATGTTTTTTTCCTTTTTTGTGGTGAGTTCAGTCCATTAACATTCCAAGTTAAAAACTTAGCCATCTTTTGGTTTTTGAAATTTCTGAAGCATCCCATGTAAGTCTGCCGTGACAAATCTTTTTGGTCTAGCTCCTCCCACAACTTCTGAGGTAGATGAATATGTTATAGGCACAGTTTCTTTTTGTTGTTCTCTCTCCTTTCGCCTATGAGCTGCACGTGTCATTCTCTGTTCTTTTGCGTCCTTTAACTCCAACAGTTGTTGACTCTGAAACTCTACTGCAGGCAGCGATGTAGCACTTGGTAAATCTACAATTAGTTGTTCCGGCATTTCTTCTGCTCCTTTAGTTAATGGGATAGGTGATGAGTCAGCTTTCAGAACCGTTTGGTAAAATTCTCTGGCCTTCTGGACTGTATCAAGTTTATAACGGTTCCCAGCATAACTCAGGACCATTCCCACTGGTATTTCCCATCTAAAAGGCAGTTGTCGCTTTTTCAACTCCTGTGCCAAAAAGGCAAATTCCTTTCTTTTTCTTAAGATTTTAGATGGTACTTCTTTCAGAATTATAACATCTTGTGCAGCTATCTGAAATCTCTGATGATAG